GTCATGGCGACCCCTGGTTCCTATCACCACCACTGTAAAGACGTCTCTACACTGAATTTGGAGAATACTGTGATACTGAATGGTGTCAGAATTGCTCAGCACTGATGGAAACCTTACGTGGCCATATGACCCAAATCTCCAGACTGGATGCTAATCTGACGGTCGATGGCGAACGCCTCCTCCTGGTACAGCGTGTCCTTTGGCTGAGATGGATGACGCATCCTCAGCTTCTGCTGGCTGAGATGAAGGATGGAAAATGCTGATAAATATTTAACGCGGAGCCGTGGGGCGTTTTAAAGAGGCAGGCGCAGCCTCCTCGGGAGCGTGGCAGGAACCACTCAGGGGAAGGGAAAGGAAATCATCAGCTCATATTAACATGCTGCTGACTTCTGAGTGACACCAGCTATTCTTAGAACGCTCGTCATCATCGCACGGAGCTAATGTGCAGATTCTGACGGGTTGCGGATGCAGATGGGCGATATGGCAAAAAATCTAATATTGTGATGCTCAAGAACATCTTCACGATACACAGTAGGCGATGTTTTATTCACACGTGTACCAGAAAAACAGTAGATGCCTAAACAAATGTCTGTAGAAACATAACTAGACTGTAATATACTGTACGTACAATGATTTTAACCTTATGTAGATCACTGTACTGTGACTGTGCAAAGAGTTTACTTTAGGTTTTTTATGCATCTTTTTATGCATTAAATCATCCAGTAATATAGTGATGCTATACACCTTTAGAAAACTTGGATCTGATTCCCTCAAACCGTTTTATGATCCGTTACTCACAGCAGTTACGATCGTTTCATTTACATCACCAGCACCGAATGAGCGTTCTAGACTCTGTAACTCCGAGTCAGTAACTCAGACAGTTATTCTGACAGTTGAGTGTTTCCTTTCAAGTGAGCCCAAGATCAGGACTGCAGAACAAGGTCTGTGAGAACAGCGCCCCCTATACTTTGGGTACGCCATTTCAGGCTAAAATGGGGCCGCAGTTCACCGGTTAATGTTTATTCAACATAATAAGGAAGAGGAGGAAAAGAATATAATAATTGGTCAAAATGAGCTTCTTATTATTCTACACTTACTGTCCACTGATTGTAGTTTACAGTCTGAATTTGTCTTTTTATGATCTGTTCATGTGTTCAGTGTTCTACTTTACTCCTCAGTCATGGGGAATATACCCACTCATCATTGTAGCCAGGGAGCTTTTTTTAATTTCACAACGTACGAGTGCTTACCTCACAGCTAGTTCTGATCTCACAATGTGATTGGCTGAGAAACATGCAATGAGTGCCAGTATTTCCCATTAACAGCCCTCCAAACAAATCTCTTTAATCATCACATCTAATAGTAATAATCAGTGATTGGTGTAGATCAGGGGTCTATAATTAAAACTCAGTAAGGTCCAGTTAGAGAAAATATCCTCAAGCAAAGATCCGGAACATCATAATGTCTAACCTGCATCATGATTCAGTGCCATATACTGTTTACTGAAGTAGCCTAGTAGGAATATCAACATCTTATACAGTCAACAACTGAATATCAAACCAAATAAAGTACAGTTCAGTAACATTTCCACAACATTTATTACCAGTTTCTCTTTTTAGATCACGCCATGTGAAATAACTTCCCTCTGACTCACTTTCTTCTCCGACCGCTGTGTCTCGCCTCGTCCCTCCCCTGTGTGTGTCACTCACTCGAGTCTCAGTGCTCATCATAATGCACAGATCTGATTGGCTGAGTAGCGTCACGTGTGATATGTACAACGCATGCGATTGGTCTGAGTCTCCCGGGCTGCTAAAACTACACTAAAGGCTAGAAAAGTTATGCCGATTAAAACAGGACCACCCCATCAAAATTAAAGAATTCTCCATAGTTTATCGGTTACAGGTCCAGGTCCGCACTGCACAGCGTCTGGGTCCGGACTCGGGCCGCGATCCGCCTATTAGTGACCTCTGGTGTAGTTTAACTGCCCAGTTACTATAACAACTGGAACACCACAGCAGGTAAATGCTAATTAACCTGAGCTAACCAGATTTGTAGGGCAAAAGGTTGAAGGCTCTGAACAGCCTGTGTGACCAGTGTGCACGTTGCCATGGTGACAGCATCCCCCGAAAACAGGTGATGATCAGCTGGAGAGCTTTGGCAGTCTCTTTATTTTACTATCGCTTAAATGATGACCTTGCATTCTGCAGCGTTTACATTACCAGAATGATCTTTATCTTTTTTTTTTATCAAAAGGAAATCTGGACAGGCCCGGCTTTCAAGGGAGACTGCCAGAACTCCACCCCCAACCCCCACCCCCAACCCCCACCCCATTCCCCTCCCCCTTTAAAACCCAAACACATTTATTTATTCCGTTGCGTTTGCATTGTGAGGGAGGAAAAGAGCTGCAGGTGTGAAACAAACTTGTTTCTCCCAGTTTATAATTTTCATACACCTGAGAAGCCGTTTCTCTCCCCATCAGTCTCGGAGAATAACGCCTGAGAAAATATCCTGAGAAGTCGCGACACCTGTACTCATCTGCTTCCCCTCTGGGCAGTCGCGAGAAAGAGAGCTGGAGCTCAGAACACCTCCCACTTCAGGCGGCGCTGAGTGAGCGAGGATGTGTTTGAAATGAACTCGTCGTCTAATAAAGTTTCCTTTATTCGCTCGTCAATCTGTGTCTTTTCTCTTTAGCTGTGAAATCAGGAGGAGAAGCGCTGGCTTACGGCTCTCGGTCACGGATCCCTGTGTTCTTGTGCTTTAGAAAATATTGACTTGGTGTTCTGTGGGTGACGTGGCTGTTTGAACTGGTCATGAAATGCAAACAAGTCAGTAAAGCAAAATCTGGTTAGAAGCTGCGATGTTTACTGACCCTGTTTCACGCTGCCTCTTTGGAAACATCGAGTATTTTTAAGTATCATCACATGAAATATTCTGTTCCGCGTATATTTTGTTCATGTTATCAGATGAACTAGGACTGCTGTTGAGCTGGTGAGACCCCCCTGCTGTGAAAAACTATTCACACCTCTCCACAAAGACAGAGATCAAACTGTCAACTGCAGCTTTCTGCACTGTTAGAAATAAAGGTTCTGTACATTTTTCGTTCATCAAGGTACAAACAGTGTAAATGTTCCCTCAAAGCTCCAACAGTGGTTTTAAGGTCTGATTGTGAACCTTAAATAAGTGTTTCCAGGTGAAAAGTTCGTATTTGTACCTTTTCATAACCGAATGTTTTAAACAGAACAGTAAAATAAAAGCCTGGAGACGAGACGGGGTGTGTGGAGTCAGTACAGCTTAGAACATATCATTTCAGTGGATTATGGTTCAGTTATGTTCCCTGACTAAAGGTACTGAGATGGAGGCTTGAGGGTTCCACCCCAGTGACCAGAGGGGAACTGACCCAGAGACGGTTTAGCACCTTTATTTCTTTCATATCAAACAATCCTACAGAACCGACACAGTGAAGACACTGTTATTACACTTTTATTGTGTTTAAATGCTGTTTGTTTATTGTGTCTAGTTTACTTCGGTTTTTGTAAATCATACAAATTTTAATCAAAATATATTCCATCAATGCTACTGAAGTCATATGAGTATATTATATATTAGTCACACTTTATTATGATGCTCCCCTGTGATGATCTACAGACACCTACATTATTAACGAACCTTCAGGTGATACTCTGTTGATTATCAGCAGCATTAAGGTCAGAGTTAGGCTTAGGAGGAGCTTTAGGTTTTGGGTTGAAGTTAAGGTTAGGTTTAGGTTTAGGGTTCAAATTCAAATCCAAGTGCATTTCATAGATATTCACTTGAATGCTAAATAAAGACTGACCAACTGCAGAGCATCTACAGAGGACCATCAAAATAAAGTGTTACAGAAATGTTTTATTTTTTATTTGATTTTATGGCTGCTGTGAAAAAAAGAGTTAAACTGATGGTTTTCAACATCCGTCCTGCACATCGTTAAGCTTCCCATGCTCTAATACGGCTGACTCAGCACGTCACTATTGATTATACAGTAGTAATCAAGCTATTTGCTGAATAATCAAGTTAACAGATGATCAAAAAGGCCAAACAGTAGAAAAGTGAACTAAAAAACAATCTGCAAAGCCTTTCAGAGATTTCAGAATACTTTAGAGAGAAAGACGCACCATTCTGTCAGGCGCTGTTTCATACTGATCAGTAGGAGAAGTAAAAATATGCAAATGGCCCACAAATCAGTGCTGCTCCATCGAGAAGGTAAATATTATTGATTGAGTAATCGTGACGTGTGATTTATCTCACTGGGCAGTTAACAGGTAGTAAAAACGAGCACAACTAATTAGGCCACACTGGTTTTCACAGTCACACTGAATTCACCATTTTATTGTGAAATTATCTCATTTTACGGTATTTTCTGTAAGAACACAGCAAATCACTGTGAGGCGAATGTTGAGTCTGTACTGCACAGCATCATGGGATATGACAGCCAGAGTTAAACAGGGGTAAATAGTTTAATAATAACGTTTTAGGTGGTTTTATAATCACAGTTAAGGTTTTCTGCTTTTTATTTTTGGGCGTCTTTTAGTCACATTTGTGCGAATTATAAGGAAACTCAGACTGTATAAATGTGTGTATTTTCACATAACAATGCTTGTGTAAGATATTCTGTGCATATATAGTGCAAAACATGGTGAATAAATATGCTTATTGACATTGCAGTCGTTTAATCACTTATTTCAGTTTTCAAAACTATTCAAGTCTATTAAAATTATTAGGCAATTTTTAATATGTAAATATACTGTAAATTCTGGCTACTGAGCTGCATTTAGAGCAGTTGTGTAAAAATACAGGAGATTAGAGTGTTTTAAGTACAGCTCTTTGCTGTAAGTGTAGAGCTGTACTTAATACAGTAATGATGTGATGAAATTTTACAGTGAATTTTTTATGGTGTAAACCTGGAAAGCGCTGCTTTACTCAGCGTGCTGAGCCTCTTCCTCTCTCTCCTTTGTGTCTTCCAGGTATTTATGAACAGACATTTCTTATACAACTGCAGTGCTCCAATCCTGGATGTGAAGATTGCCTTTTGTCAGGTGTGTGTTCCATACAGGTAAAATAACAGGTAGAGTATTCATTCACTTCACTCTCCCCTCCATTTGTTCTCAGTGTGTCAGTGTCTGAACTCAGTGCTGAAGTTCTGTGTTGAAGGTTTAGCAAATGAGCTTATTAAAGTTACAATATTGACTTTATTCATCAGAGTGAGGTCACTGATTGATTGTTTTTCTGTGAACACATGGTCAGACCTTCCCATCTATGTTGGTCTGGATGACCTTGACATTCTCAGAGATGATTTAAAAAGCGTGTATTTCTGAGGGTGAAGGTTCCTGCATTTGTATAAACTCAGGTGTAGCTCTTAGTAGTAGTGGACGATATTCCAGTTCACCTGATATATGTGCTGAAATTCCTCTTCAGGTGTTAGTTTTGTCATTTCTGTTATACCCATATGCAAATAAATGATAATGTGATGTATAAACAGGTCAGAACTCGCTGACTCCCTCACCTCTCGTGTACTGAGCTGCAGCCTGAGGTCAGTCTGTCCAGTTTAAAATCAAAGGAGCGACATCAGAGTGTAATGAGTTAACGGGGAAAAGAGAGCGGAAGGAAAAGCCAGTCTCTTGGGGTTAGCCGTCAGCTGTTAGCCTAGCATGGAGACTAGCTTGGCCAGCTGCTTCAGGGTCTCGGCCTACAAGCTGAGAGGCTCCCCAGCTTCTCAGCTAAACTAATAGGGTGAACGGCTGTAATATTTACTAAACTCCAGCGTCGGATGCTCTGAGATTAAAACTCGAGGGTGAGAGACGTTCATACGAGGCAAACGACTTTCAGACGGAAAACTACATTCAGCAGCGTTTTTGCGAGTCTGAAGTCGGCTTCCTATTCGCCAGCTTCTTTTTCAGATTTTCCCGTTCCACCTTAAATGATGCAGCAGTTACATTCTGGCACCTGAGGCACCAAAACATAACTGCTGCACCATTTAAGGTGGAACAGGAAAATTCGAAGGTGGTGAATAGCCGACTTCAGCTTCGTACCTCAGAGGAGCCGCTGTGGGCTTTACACACAGTCGCCTTCACCTCGTTAGGGTGAGAAAGCAATACAGTATATAGTACATATCTGACTGTACGTTGATCATTTCTGTTTTTACTGTTTCACCCAATAAAATATGTTAGATTTGCTTCAGCTGTTAAATATGGTTGTTATTAAAAGTGAAGGGACGTCCAGAATGAGACGCCATCGTTAATCTGCAGAAAAGGTTTACTTAAGCAGCCAAAATGGTTTTATTGGGAAAAACATACAGAAATACACTGTAGAGTGATATATACACTGAAACCATCAGTAGCCTTAATTATACTGTGATACTGTGATCTTAGTAGTTGCTGTGATGGTCAGTGACAACAGCAAACTGTAATTAAATATGAATTATTTCTCATTCGTGGCTCATTGAAACAAATGGAAACTGTGTGAAAAGTGCAGATTTGGAATGTTCAATCTAGACCACAGTAGTGTTTATAAGTAGAACAACAGATATTTTATTGTAATTTTCTATTTGATGGAAATTTAGTGTACAGTCTTGTTTTGAGGAAAGAAAAAAACTTTATATTTTTGCTGTTTTTTGGTATCTATTTTCATGTAAACAAGCAGAAAAGAGTCAGACGTGCAGAATCAAGCCTGTCCATACAGAATGCACTCAAAAGCTTAGATACGGTTCAAAAGTTTGGAATCACTGTTTGCAATAAAACTGAAAGCATAAAATTAAAAAGTGCAGGTAAATGTATCAAATGATTCTAATGTGGTGCAGATACTGCACAACTGTCACCAGATCAACAAACTAATCAGCAGGAAAATCAGCACCAATAGCAATCAAATTTAAATTATGCCTAAAACATGATTGAAAAGGATGGTTCTTCAAAAGGTAGGACCATGAGTTCTATAGAAAAGCATTAACATGTTTCTTTAGACTGATGGAGAATGTGTTGTATATGGTTCTATATAGCACCAAAAAGGGTTCTGCTATTGATACAATGTCAATCTTGTAGCAGTAGAACAGCCCTTTTTGATGCTATATAGAAGCATTTTCAAAAAAGTTCTACATAGAACCATACACTCTTAAAAATTGGTTCTTCAAGGGTCCTTTAGTAAAGACAGTGGTTCTATACAGAACCATATACACTCAAAGAACCATAGGCATGCTTAAATTGTTCTTTGCATGATGAAATTGTTCTTCAGATTGATGGGGAATGTGTTGTTTATGGTTCTACATAGAACCTTTTTGAAAAGGGTTCTATATAGAACCAAAAAGCGTTCTGCTATTGTACACAAGCTTGACATTGTATCAAAAGCAGAACCCTTTTTGGTGCTATATAGAAGCATGCACAGCACATTCTCCACCAATCTGAGGAACCATTTCACCAAGCAAAAACACATTAAGCATGAAAATGGTTCTATGCAGAACTCACGATTCTAAAAAGGACCAAAGAACCCTTGAAGAACCATCTTTTTAAGTGTGTACAGTCAAAAGAACACGGTTTTGCAGGTAAATGAGATGTTGATGCAGCGCCACAGATGAAAAGATATAGAAGGCCTTGTTATCCTGAATCACTAACCCTAACATTTTTAACGGTTTATTAAAAGACGGCAGACGGCTGACCTTCTCCAGAGCTCATCAGTGTTTTTGGGGCGGTCAGCCTGTCAGACAATCTGTAATTTCCTGTTTTGCACAAATCAGATCGTTCTTTTGAGAGACGGACAGTCTACTAGGTCAACCTGTCACAAGACTGATGGTCGTTTAACGGCAGTCTTTTAAAAAAACCCCTGCGCAGGGGCCATGAATGTTATCTCTGACCTGTAAAGATATTTACTGCCCCTCGATTTAAAGCCCTTCCTTCAATAAGAGATAGCAATTATCGCAAATCAGTGTTAATCAGCTTCAAATTATTGCAGTCAATTCAATGGTGGTCCAATGCAGTGATGGATGAGTCCCATAATAAAGATACTCTCTCTCTCTCTAGTTCTCCCCAGTCTCCAGCTTATTTGTGGGTTCCTGGGTTGGGATGTGCTGGAATACAAGTATTGGGAACAAAATATTAAAAATACAGAAATTAAGTATCTGAGGCAATATTGAGAAAACAGTTACTTTTTACATTTAAGGAGAATACTTTTAGAATACTTACAGCCTGAGTAGACTGATAAATCAATGTGCTTATTAGTTATTAATCTCAGTGTTACTGAGCTCTGCTAAAGCCTGAGTAGACTGATAAATCAATGTGATCAGTTATTAATCTCAGCGTTACTGAGCTCTGCTAAAGCCTGAGTAGACTGATAAATCAATGCGATTGGTTATTAATCTCAGCGTTACTGAGCTCTGCTAAAGCCTGAGTAGACTGATAAATCAATGTGATTATTAGTTATTAATCTCAGCGTTACTGAGCTCTGCTAAAGCCTGAGTAGACTGATAAATCAATGTGATTATTAGTTATTAATCTCAGCGTTACTGAGCTCTGCTAAAGCCTGAGTAGACTGATAAATCAATGTGATCGGTTATTAATCTCAGCGTTACTGAGCTCTGCTAAAGCCTGAGTAGACTGATAAATCAATGTGATCAGTTATTAATCTCAGTGTTACTGAGCTCTGCTAAAGCCTGAGTAGACTGATAAATCAATGTGATCAGTTATTAATCTCAGTGTTACTGAGCTCTGCTAAAGCCTGAGTAGACTGATAAATCAGTGTGATCAGTTATTAATCTCAGCGTTACTGAGCTCTGCTAAAGCCTGAGTAGACTGATAAATCAATGTGATCGGTTATTAATCTCAGTGTTACTGAGCTCTGCTAAAGCCTGAGTAGACTGATAAATCAATGTGATCGGTTATTAATCTCAGCGTTACTGAGCTCTGCTAAAGCCTGAGTAGACTGATAAATCAATGTGATCGGTTATTAATCTCAGTGTTGCTGAGTTATTGAGGAACATTAGACACCAGATTTATAATCTCTGTTCATGTTGAGCATCAAGACGCCTGAGAACTTCTCCACTGCAGGTCTGATATCACCTGAGAACACAGCAGAGCGAGTGCACTGGTCCCGTCTGTACACTCAGTTTAGCACCCAATGAAAACATCACAAACCGCAGACACAGAGCAGAACCACTAACAGTGAAGCTGGACGTCACAGCGCTGTAGCCTAAATACTGTAATCAATTTAGCTAATTTTATATAGACAGGTTGTTTAATGTCAGCTCAGTTTGGTTCTATTGAAAGCAGATTTTATCATTAATAAAAGTGTATTTGCTTTATTTATTATATCTGTTAGTTTTTATGTTTAGTAAGTTTATTCAAAATTATATAAAAAATATTTTTATGTAATTTTTTTCAGGTTTAAGTTTTGGTTTTTAGCTGATTGTGAGTTGAATTTTCATTTCGATGCATCACTATTGAATAAGTGTTTTGCAAAACTGCCCAGGAGATTCAGTTCTTGTCAGAGGCAATTTAGTAACTAAATTGGCCATATAGTTCATGAATCATAGCAGTTACTAAAAAAAAGCATAGTGGATGCTGAATAATTAATAGTAGACACTCAGTAATTCATAGTAAATACTGAATATTTCATACTAGATACTGAATAATTTGTAGGAGATACTATATAATTCATAGTAGGTACTAAATAATTCATAGTAAATACTCAGTAACTCATAGTAAATACTGAATAATTGATAGTAAATACTAAATTCATAGTAAATACTGAATATGTCATTGTAGTTATTGAGTAATTCATAGTAGTTACTTGGTAATTCATAGTAAATACAGAATAATTCATAGTAGATACTGAATAATTCATAGTAAATACAGAATAATTCATAGTAGATACTGAATAATTCATAGTAAATACAGAATAATTCATGGTAGATGCTGAATAATTCGTAATAAATACTTAATAATTCATTGTAGATACTGAATAATTCATAGTAAATAATAATAATAATAATAAAATAATTCAAATCACATCCTATGTAATCCCTAGTAGTCACTAAATAATTGATATTGGATGC